GTGCCGAACTCAGATACCGATTACTCAACCATGAACAACGTTTGAAACGCTCTCTATTCCATCCATGGGTGATACTGCTCATTTTGCTACACATGTACCCAATCAAAATCAAAATTTTCGAGGACATGGACGTGGTGATTATTTTGCCCATCATAGACGTGGTGAGCACTCAAATGGTCGTGGATGAGGGTATGCTCAAAATCCTGGTCGTGGTCAAAATTTTAAGGGAAATCGCTACATGGGAAAATGTCAAATCTGTCGTGCATAAGGACATAACACATTCAAATGTCGCTTTCGATTTGATCAGGCTTATACTTCGAGACCCGTACAGCAGTCCATTGCAGCCATGAATATTAACAATTCAAGCTCTTCCCCAGTTGCTCAATCATCCACTGCTCCATTTCCATATGATTCATTTTGGCACCCGGATACGGGTGCAACTAGTCATATGACAAGAGACATGTCTATTCTTCAACTGTCAACAGACTACTCTGTTTCAGATATAGTTATTGTTGGAAATGGTGTGGGTCTTCCTATTTCTCATATTTAGTAATATCTATTTTCACAATTTTGATTCAAAATTTGACCAGTACAAACACCACAAACATAATCTATTATATGTGGCACAATTCACTAAGGACAATAATTGTTCATTTCACTTTTTCCCATGGTATTATTGTGTTAAGGATTTGACAGAGGGGAAAATTCTTCTCACAGGACCGGTCAAGGATAATCTTTATCCACTCCATCTCTCATCCAGAGGCCTCCAACAGAAAGATTGTATTGTTTCCACAAGATCAACATCCATTAGTGCAAAGGCTACCTCTGAAGTCTGACATAATCGCTTAAGGCATGCAGGATTTAAGATGAGTGTTTCTCTTTCTTCAAATAAATGTTGAGATGTTTCTGGTAATTTAAATAAAAGTTGTTTGTCCTGCTTGTCAATTGGTAAAGAGTAAGCAATTACTTTTGATTTATCTACTCACCATTCCCCGCACCCATTTTATCTAATTCATTGAGATATTTGGGGGCCTGCACAAGTTTCGTCTACTGCTATTATATCATATTTATTGATGATTTCAGTGATGTGTGGCTTTACCCTATGAAAGCTAAAAGTGACGGTCCAAATTGCTTTCTTCATTTTAAAAGGATGATGAAAAATATATTATCGACCAAGATCAAATATTTTCAAAGTGATGGTGCTTTAAAGTTAACCAATGGAGTGTTTAAAACTATACTTGATGAATGTGGTATTATTTCACGGATTTCATGTCCTCACACTCAACAGCAGAATGGTGTTTCTGAGCATAAGCATTGACATATTACTGAGATTGGCTTATCCTTGATGTTTCACAGTTCTATCCCCAAGCAATTTTAGTTAGAAGCTTTCAACACTGCAATTTTCCTTATCAACCATTTACCAACGCCAATGTTGAACTCTCACTCTCCTCATGAAGTTTTATTTCATGTAAAATTGGATTACAACATACTTCGCACTTTTGGATGCGCTTGTTATCCTTTTTTAGAGACTTACAAGGCAGATAAGTTTAAGCTCAAAGTCGATTATGTGTGCATTCTTGGAGTATAGTGGTCATCACAAGGGATATCGATGCCTGGACATAATCACCAGTAAAGGTGTCCATGGATCAGGATAGCCACAGGTCCAGTTACTCGGTCTGAAAAACATAGGCCCGAAACCAGATAGTTGGTCGAGTCCGAGCCTAATATTCTTAAAAAGAAGGTTTGGGTTTGTCCCCAAATCCATTACCCGGCCCAATAGCCTGCCCATAAAAACCCGTTAAAACCCAACCCAAGAACCCACCCGCCCAACCTAGCCTAGCCCGCTCACCATTCCTATGAAAAATATTAGACGGCTATACCATTGAATTTCAAATTTTGAAATAATTACCCCAATGCTGGAATTTGAAGTTTTAGAAATTTAAATACTATAAATAATATTTTTTTTTTTCATGTATTACACATACATGTTTTAAAGGATAGAGTTGTACAAATGATAAATAGACGAGTAGGTGTCAACTTAGTTGAGATATGCTCATTTTATTGTGATGTAGTTCCTCCCCTATTCAAAAATAAAATTATTCATCATTTATTTTTTATCCATTTTGACTCTACTTTTGATTCAAAAACATAATTTATAAAAATATTAGGTTACAAAAATATTATTATTTTTAAATGAAATTGTCTATGACAAAGCACAAGAGCAAGACTCGATTGACCCGCTCAAAAGTCCCGCCTAATAGGCTCGCAAGTTAGGCTGCAGATAACCTAACCTACCCGAAACTTGGCCAGTCTCAGCCCAGCCCGCCCGATGACTCACCTGAATAAGGGTTTGGGCCCACCCTACCCAAGCCTAACTCGAAAAAAAATTTCGCTAGCCTAGCCCATGGACACCCTTAGTTACAGGCCGAGTTTATATATCCCGTCATGTTGTCTTTGATGAATTCAATTTTCCTTTGGTAGACTCAACTGCTACTCTACCAACGTTGGAGTCTCAACAACAATAGGTTTTGTTACGAATTCCCTTTCAACCGACTCTACCTATTTCTAGCTGGGCAATTCCATCCATCTCTTCAACAATCCCAATATATTTCACACCACCTGAATCTCCGAAAGCCTCCTATACCGACGTATCTCCTGTCTCTCTTCTACCTAATTTGGCTGAAAATGAATCTACTCCTATTGAGACTTCTATGGTACCTGTGATAGCTCCTACACCACCACCTCCATCTATTTTCACTCCAATGGTTACCCGATTTAAGGATGGCATTGTTAAAGCCAAACAAAGGTTTTTCATGACGACCAAGGACCTTGCTTGAATTAGGGACATCCTCGTATCGGCTAGAACCTTCTACCTATCGGGAGGCCTCTACAGATCAAAAATGGTGTTGCCATGCAAGATGAATTTAATTCTCTGCTTGCCAATACCACTTGATCTCTTGTCCCTCATCATGGAAATATAAATAAAGTTGGCTCCAAATGGCCTTACAAAATTAAAGAAAATCTGATGGTTTGGTGGACCGATACAAAGCACGTCTAATTGCCAAATATTATAATCAACAGGAAGGCGTCGACTTTACCAAAACCTTTAGTCCAGTGGTGAAGTCTGCTACTGATCGCATGGTTATCTCTTTGGCTCTTTCTCGTGATGGATCTATCCGTCAATTGAATGTGAAGAATGTATTTCTTCATGGAGTACTATCTGAGGAAGTTTATATGGAATAGCTACCTGGCTTTCATGACCCTTCTTGTCCTACACATTTTGTCATCTTCATAGGACTATTTATGGTCTTAAGTAAGCTCTACACGCTCAGTTTCAACACTTTAGTGGATTTCTTCGTCAATTTAGTTTTACTTGCAATCGAGCATATTACTCCAGGTTTGTACTTCAATCATCAGTCGGCACTATGGTTCTTCTTCGTTATGTGGATGATATCATCTTAACTGACAGTTCTCCCTCACTTCTTCGATTCTTTATTGATATGCTCCGTACACAGTTTGCCATGAAAAATCTATGGGATTTTATTATTTCTTAAGTATTGACGTAAAATGCACTACTACAGGGCTTCATCTTTCCCAATCGAAGTATACTCTTAACCTACTGTCACGTTCAAGTATGCTTGAAACGAAACCGTGTCCCACCCCTGCCACACCTGATTCGAAGCTTTCCCCCCATGAAGGTGATTCCTTGTCAGACCCATCATTTTATTGCCAAATTGTGGGAGCTCTTCAATATCTTACCATGACTCACCCTGATATTACCTATGTTGTCAATCAAGCATGTCAATTCATACATTCTCCGACCACAACTCATCTTGCTATTGTCACAAGGATTCTTCGCTATATTAAAGGTACAATTGATTTGGGCCTTCACCTTCAGTCTGGCCCTCTCTTACAATCAATGCTTTCTCTAATGCTAATTGGGCTAGATGCCCTAACTTTCGCCGGGTTTTGCATCTTTCTTGGCTCTAATCTTATTTCCTGGTCTTGCAAAAAGCAACTCACAGTAGCCCAATCTAGTGCTGAAGTAGAGTACAGTGCCCTTACTTGTGCAATTGCTGAAGTTATTTGGCTTCGTTATCTCTTTCGATAACTTTGTGTCTCCACTTTGACACCTTGTTCTCTTCATTGTGATAATGCAAGTGCAACTTACATGACTGCTAATCCAATGTTCCATGCTCGAACAAAGCATATTAAAATGGACTATCATTTTGTTCACAAACTGGTAGCGATACGAACCCTTCAGGTGCAATTTATTCATACAGATCATCAAATAGTTGATATCTTCACAAAAGGTCTCACCACTTCTCGGTTTCTTCATCTTCAAGATAAACTGATGTTGCGTCTCCTCTTCATCAGTTTGGGGGGGAGTGTTAAGTAAATAGAAGATCTCACTCATCCAATTAGGGGGATTGATTCACTCGTGAATATTGCAGCCTATATCAAGGATTTGATTCCTATAATCTTGTATTGGGTTTTGATTCTTTCCATGTACAAATATTCTAGAATAGTCTTCTTATACTATATATACTTGTATATTCATATCAATAAAATATTCAAGACTAGAAAGTCTTCTTCCTTTGCTGTTCCAATAAAGAATGTAGTTCTATTTGTTTTTGTCGTCGTATGAACCCCCTCCGGGGGGATGCCCCTCTTTTCCTTTTTGAACTCATGGCCAATTACCCAGGATTATCCATACAACATCCAGCAATTTACACTGCCCATAAAACAAACAAATGTCACCAAAATACCATGAGGAGGAGTTTCTATATGTATATATGTTTCTCATCGATGCATTTACATGATATTAACCCCAACATGCTTTTACATGAAGGAGCTTATATATCTTTCTCATCCATGCTTTTACATGATATAAACCCCAACATATAACACGGTGCTCCACATTATGAAATATATTCAAATATATTTCTATAATATTTCCTTAACCTCACTTAGGGCAACTATCTCAATCTTGACTTATCTTAGAAGGCAATCCAACTTCCAAACCCAATAAAGAACTCGTTCAATATTAAACTACCTGTAACCGTCGATGATACACTGCCACTTCTGGAATCTTCAAGATATGAAAAGCTCACTGAACTACAACAATAACCAAGCCCAATCTCAAAACCTTATTTAATCATTTTTTTTAAAAAAAATATTCCCTCAAAATGGAACTTACCCCAAAGTCAATTCTCCTATTGCTCCAATTCCATAGTAAATCCAACACAAAAAAACCCCAAATATCCACGCACACATATCTAAATGCAACCCATTAAAGAACAATAATCGAACAACTTATTACAATTAACAAAGATAATACAATTCATACACAATCCATCAAAGAACCATACCTGCAGACCACGTTTCCAAGATTCACCACACAAGCCCAAGGCGTTATCGCGGCAAGAATGAACAGTCTCGAACTGATCCACATCAAGTTTCTTGTTAATGAACCCAACCTGAAAATATATATTATCCGAGGGAGGCAAATCTACTTTGATCTGATCAACATCGAACCATAAGAAGAATCTTTGGACTTGAATACCCTTCAAATCACTGATCGACCCGATGTCGAGCACACCCGTAATTTCCTTTTCGTAGTAGACCAAGTACTCGAACTGTACGTAACATGGCTTTTCAAGCTCGACAACAAAGCTTCCGTCTGAGGAGAGAGAGTATGACTTGACGGAGTCCGGCAAGAGGCCACTGGGGAGGCCAAATTTAGGAAGGATTTCGTAGACCGTTATGTTATCCTCCGAAGAAACTGCGAGGATCAGCATAGAGAAGAGGAGAAGACCCAGTTGGGGTTTTAGGTTGAGAGCCATGGCTTTTAGGCGGCTTGTTCAGAGAGTGAAAGATTTGGGTTTAGAAACGTAAGATAAGGGAGGGAGAGAGAGAGAGAGACGAGGCAGGTTCCTGGAAGTTGGAGAATTGGGTTGAGGACAAGGTCACAAACAGGAGTGAGTTTGTCTATGTTCGGACCTTGGGATGGAGGTAGCTTCATTTGAAAAAAGAGTTCTGGTCTGTTGGATGTGGAGAAAAGAATTTGCCATTCATTGATGGCAATAGTTTAGGAGGGGACAATAAGAGGTCGGTGGAATTATCCCACCGAGCATCTTCGACAAATAATATAAAATATACAAAATTTTTAAATTTTAATTATTTGGTCTAAAAATTTCATTCGACCGAATTATATTTAAAACATCTAAAATAACATTTCACTATAGTGACACCTAGGAAGCACAAATACGGATACGTGACATGGATACGATACGATACAGATACAGTGATACGACAAAATTTAAAAAAACAGGATACGGATATGACCAGGATACGTCTATAATAAAATATATTTGATATTTTACTATTATTTAATGACTTAGAAATTATATTTTTTCAATAATTTTTTAACATTAGTAAATAAAATTATGAATTTTTACCATAAAAAGAATGTAATATCGTCTTATTATGATATGTTCACAAAATAATCATGACCAATTGAAGAAATCATAACCACATTTAACTAGTTGATTTTGCAAGTATTTATTTTTAAAAGTATAGTGTAAGTGACTTATTTTTTTATGCTCTCTTAATATTTAATAATAGATAATACTTAAAAAACACTCGTGTCTTTAAAATCAAATGGAATTTTGTTGATGTTTTATATTGTATGTGAACTCCAAAGAAGGTGTATAGCTTAAAATTGAAAATTGTATATCTTACTCCATGTTTAGAAATATCCACGAAGTATTCACATATTTTATTAATTATTAGATACGAATGATGTGTATCCAATACGTATCATCGAGTATCTGACGAGTATTGTATCTGATTCGATACGGTATCCGATACGGGTACGTCGGTCTTAACGAAGTATTCGTGCTTCATAGAGTGGCACTCTATAAAAGATATGTAAAAAAAATTTATAATATGTTCTCTCTCTTCCTCTCCTTTCTTCCATTTTATCTCTTCCTCTCCTTTCTTCAATTCTCTCTATTTCTCTCTTTCACTATTCCGAAAAAAAATAATACAAAAGGAATGAGAAATACTATTTAAAAAGAATAATTACAAATATAAAAAATCTATTGAAGTGTGTATTAAAAAATTACGTAGCCAAAATAGCTTTTGTTAGACGTTTTAAACATTGATAAAAAAGGGATTTATCCAACCTACTATTTTTTATTCCCAAAAAAAAAAAACCCTACTATTTTTTATGATAAAAAAATCTATTATTTTTTCATTTTTCCTATTTTTTTTTGTTTTTATGTTGGTTTTTGCTTGGAAAGGCCAGGGAAGTGGGGTTTTGATAATTAAAAAAAGAGTAAAATAACATTACATTATTTATTATAGAATGGATTTGTTAATTATGACGATACATGAATAAGAATTTTAACCAAATACGAGCTCAAGAAGCGAGATTAGACAAGGAGGATAGACAAGGAGGTTAGATGAGGAGCTTAGAGCTTTGAAGTCCAATTCCCGAGCTCCTCTTCTATGAGAAATCAGAGGAGCCAAGGAAAGAATAGCTGGTCAATAAGAAGAGTCCACAAAACAGCTAAAGGGCAGTGATCAAGGCGTGAAACTCTCAACCACCTGAGATCTCCTCCTAAAATTAAGGAAAGTCCTGTGGATGAAGAGCAAGGATCTCACTGCAGATCCCTTAGAGATACAAATTGTGCTATAAATACTGAACAGTGCCTCCTTGAGATGCGAGAAAAACCTAATACCATCAGAAATACTTTGTAAGTCATATTAACCATCAATATAAGAAAAGGGAAAAGAGCCTCCATTAAAGAATGGATTAGTAGAGCTCTCGAGTCGGTGAACCACTATATCTTTATTGTATAAACTACCCCAATCCCTCAGCAATACTTCTCATGATCATTGTGAGCCTTGTGGCTCAGATCCAAGCTGCCAAGCATAATTCATACCTTTTGCTCATCCACGCTAATTTACACCATCAAATTACATATCTAAAGTTTTCAATTTGTGTTTGCACGGGCTTGATTTCCACAACCAATGAGGAGTTGATTGCTGATGAATGGTTTATGAGGCTAGCAACACAAGAAACATGTTAGAAATGTCTTCGGTGTATTCCTCCTTATGCTTAAGTGAGTATGTGACCCAAAAAAAAAAAAAAGAAATTCAATGTATTGAAGTGGATAGTCACTGTGTATTTCTTAGAGCATACCTAGAATCAAAGGCTCTGTTTGAATTGTATCTCCAAAAATATGTTTTTGAGAAAAAAATTAGGAAAGTGTGTTTTAATGTTTTTTTGTCGTAAAACTTGTTTGGTTATGTGAGTCTTAAAACAATTTTAAAAAACGAAAAAAGAGTAAGACTTATTTGGATAATAACTTTAAAAATAATAAAAATATAAGATGTTGTTTGAATTAATGGTTTCATTAAAAAAAATAAAAATTCTACATGTCAAACTTATCGAAATTAACATAATAGCATCTAATAGTAAATAAAACTCAGTTGTACACAATATCATAATACAAATTCTAATATAATATAAACCATAGTTCTTACATAAGAAAAGTCTTTCATTATCCTACTTGCACTAATTTCTACATATTCCCTACAATTGCAATTGTATCCCATAGCTCGAAGATAGCATTTGACTCGTGATCATTATCAAAACTCATAAAGCTAATTGAAGGATATCATTTACTAAAGATGTTTTGATTGAAATATATTTAAAAGATAGGTTGGGAGAGTGATTAAGTAGTGTAGAACCACCCTAAATTTCAAGCAATAGAAGATTGGGAGAATTACATCTAGATCTCCTGAGGTTTGTCACTTAATCACTTCGATCCCCTGATATTTAAAATATTATACTCAAACTCCTAAAATTTGTATACGCGTAACACTTAGACCCCTGATGTAAATATATCTATTAATAAATTATACTTAAACCCCTCTGAAGTTTAGGGATATAATACTTAGATTGCACTAATTTTCTATTATGCTTTGTGAATGAGGTGAAAATTCTTATGAGATAACATCAATTGTTGCCTTGAAGGTGTTTGCCAAAATGCCTATGTGTGGATTAAGTTGTTATGACATGATGATGTGTAACATGCTTAGAAAATGTGTTGGAAAGAAATGTTGATATGTGCTCATTGAGATATTGACATTGTGATGATTTATAAAATTTATATGCATATGATATGAATCTCCATGAAACATGTCGACATGTGATTTAAAATTGCTCATATGACATTCATTACATGTGAGCATGATGTTGGAATAGCAAAGATGCATTACATTGCATATGCACGTAGACATCGCATTTCATGGGTGTGAGTGCATGGTTAGGGTCAAACACCATCCTCGGTAGATGACAAGTGGGCTCGGTACTGTTGGATCTCGATTCAACAGAGTTCCACGGATGCATGAAATAGAAAACTTGTGTCGAGTGTAACAAGAAGGGCTAGACACGTCCTCGGGTGCTAGGCCCGGCTACTGGTTCACACACTCCGTCGGTGCAAGTCCAAAAAGTGTAGAAAGGCGTACGGAGCCGATGGTGAGATTTCAAAATCCGTTACCCAACAAAGACACAAAAGTTGGTTTTATAAAATTATTCATTTAATGGGTAACATCCACAATGATTTGGTTTTACAAAATGCATCACTTTTATTTTAAACAACCATTGGATGCATTTTTTGTCAATTGACAGATTCATTACACATGCGCATTGCATTGTGTAGTGGGAGTCAGTGAAGGCTCGGGGTTAAATTGTATGAGTGGGTCTCATCTTATATCATGGCATGACATGTTGATTCCAATATTGATTTGCATAAATATTGGTTAGAATGATTGTTGTTGAAAAATATTGTATATGAACATTGCATGTGCACTTAGGTTAGGGAGTAGCCTCCGTAGGAAATATTCTACTAGGCATTGGCTCACCCTATACGTGAAAATATTTCAGGTGCGGACTACACTTCGATGGACGACACTCATTCGGGGCATCAACGATGAAGAAAAGCCGGATTGTGACTTTTGGAAACAAGTTCTTGTAAAAACTTTTGTTTAAAACCCGTTTGGCATGTAAATGTATGGAATGAGTTGTATTAGATGTTGTATATATTAGATTATATGTGAAAAACATAATTTAGTATGTTTTGGATGAAAAATGTAGGTTTTGGAATGGGTTAAAATCGACAACAGGTGAATTGGGCAAAACTAGACAAAGTATACCGGTACAGTCTGCTCAGAAGGATAAGCGTACCAGTACTGTTTGTCTAGAAGGCAAATCGTACCGGTACACAGTATCGGTACTGTCTCCTAAAAATCTGAGATTTTTAAATTATTTTGCTAACCTTTTGAACTTTGTCTTCTTTAGTTTCAACGATACAAATGGACATTAAATGAGGTATATTGAGGCTTATTGGACCTCTGTTGAATTAAATGATTAAAGGAACACGGGTTATACGTGTAAGTGATGATCCCGGTTACAGGGATGTGATGGACGTGATGTCGAGCCACGCGACACTTACAGGCATTCCGCGGGTTGACGGGTTGTCAACGGGACCTCCGATTTTAGGAGCGTCACAGCTTGGTATCAAAACCTAGGTATACGAAATACCTAGGGCTTGATGGACATTGAGTTTAGACCATTGCATACTTTGTACATTTCATTTTATGTGCTTATATTTTGTTACATGATTACATACTATGTGATTATGTGAATGATATGCAAGGTAAAATGTATATGGAAGGAAACACTAGGGTTAGAGAACATAACCTGGGGTTTTGGAAAAAAGGGATGAACGGTGTAGTTCATGGTGTAAAAGTCTACTAGTGTGGGGTATAC